CTCCTTAAATTCATTACATATAGAGAGCAGGGGGGATTTTGCTCTTTGTTAAATAGTACTACAATGCAATATTTAATCAAGTTTCCAACCCAGAGGTACCTGCATTTTCAAAAAAAATGGAAAAAGTGATCCTCTTCATTAAAGCAGTCTGAATTGATCAGTGAGACAATGAGCAGACTTTGGATTTACAGTTCTGTGTGGATGCTAACCTATCAGGAAAAAAAAATAATTGTTTGAACTATGGCTAATCCATGAGTTAATAGCACTGTGCATCTGTAAGAAGTAAAAAAATAATCAGGCAATAAAGTAGCGCAGGTAAAAATCACTTTCAGTAGCAATATCCAAACACTGCCTGCTCTTCCCACACTTAAAAGGAGTTCTACATCAATTTCGAGGTCTGTAGGACTTTTTCTGCCCCTTGACAGACACATACAGGCTGATTCTCAATGGATTCTCACTGGTCTGTCACTAACAGTGGGTCATTGGTCCGGCGCATTTTGTGGAGTTCGTAATTCAGGAGACATCCTGCCTCAAAGGGGAACCAGTTGCTGACATCTCCAATTGCAAGCCTCTTTCACCTGAATTAGCTGTAAGTACAGATACTATGATTCCTCAGTGAATATTTGGCCTAACCCTTTGGTTCTCTGCAGACAAGAAGCAAAACCCATGGAAGTTTTCTTATGGGTTGCAGCCCTGGCTTGCATGTATTCAAACTACTTTAAAGTACAGGAAAAAAATCAGTAAAAGTTCCAAACTATTTCCTATTAGTCTATGAATAAAGGAAACCAAAACAAACAAAAGTAAGTCCAGAAAAAATGGGTAGCCACTGCTTTACAAAAGTGAAACATTTTTAAGGACTTTTTCCAAATAAGCAGATACAGACAACAAATTGCAAACGGAGCACAAAGAATATATTCACCCTACAATTAAATCAGTTGGGGAAAACATCCAAGGAAAAAAATATCAAAGGAAACCTAAAGATTAAATGAGCATGCTGCTGAGATGTTCCATTTCAAGTCTCGTCTTAACTGAGATCCAAGTCATACATATCTGCAGTCCAGTAAACACACAGTTGTTAGAAGCAACATCTTGTCATGGCTTCTTTCATTAGTATGATGTGAATTTGTTTCTGCCTGAGAAACAACACTGTGCTCTATTACACACCTCGCTTCCATGGGGATACTCTGCTGCAGAACTTGTGTGTGCTGTTGTAGACAGACCTTAAGTAGACAGCTTATTTTTACTATTGTGCTACCTAACCCTCCTTTGTAAACATAAAGCCTTTTTCAAAATGCTGCCTTCCTTTATAAGCTTGCCAATCCCAAAATAAAAGTTTGCCCAAGCTGCTTATCCCTACAAATACATGTAGAAGCTGTAACAACTCAGCCTTTCATAAATACCAATTTTACAAGATAAGAGCTAAGTATCTGCACGACAGTATGAAAATAATACTTGCATTTTCTTCTTCCAGCAAATGGGTTTCTGCAAAGGCTCTGTAGTAAACAGTAACATGGAACACAAGGAGACCGTCACAATATCCTGTGAAATCTACAGCCGACAGGTATTTCTTAATCTAATCTTAATAATGCAAGAGTAACACTCCTTTCTCCATTACAAAAAAAAGGATTGAACTCCTGAAAGCCCAACCAATTTCAAATTTTCTAATGCACAAAGATATGGACTTCAAGAAAGTGATAGGGCCAAATCAGGTAGAAATCTCTCTTGTGATAAAGCAGACTGTTGCAAGGTGGATAAAAAGGCAAGAGAGTACAGCATCTATCACAGAGACAGTGCTCAGAATGATCTACAAAGAAATAATACTAAATAATAAAAAAAAGGCCAACTATAGTTACCCAGACTGTACACTGGCTTAAGAGGAAGTGCCATGTGTGTGACCCTCATGGTTCTGTTCTGCAGCTGGTCTTTGCAAATCAGAATTGTAGATAAAGGGTGAGCTTCTTCACATCGGAAAAAATTTGTAACAGCTTCAATAAATGTGATATTTGTTGCCTTTTTTTTTTTTTTTTTTTTTTTTAAAAGGATCCTGTCACTGAAGAAGGAAAACTACAAACTAATCAGGGACCTGAAGAATCCAGTCAGAATCATCAACAAGCTTTCCCTGCAGAAACCAGTCCTTTCTCCCTACATCTAGGAAAAACAACGGGCTGTGTCAAAATTCTCCCCCCTTCAACAGAGGACATCTCATTTTATAAACTAAGAGAAAGTCAAAACAAGCAGGAAGATAGAAAACCAGTTCTACCTAAGGCTATAGAATGTATGTCTACTCCACCAGCCCCTGATGGAGAAACGACTCACGTAGACAAACCAGGCTTGACCAAACCAGTCACTGGACCAGTTATCCTCCCTTTCCCTGCAGAACTTTCTCTTTCAGACTCATGTCCAGGAGAAGCTAAGCAGATAGATTTCATCCTACATCCTTTGCTTACTGGAAAGCTTGCCAGAGTCTAGTCGGCACCCAGTCACCTTAACTACCTGCAACAAAATAATAGCCACACTGACAAGGCGGTCTTCCCATTTGTGCAACATCTTTAAGCAAATAAACTGCTTATTAAAGTACTCGTCTTTTGAGTTCTCTGTTTCACAAAAACACAAGAATAGATTACTAAGAAATGTAAGTGGGCGTACTTTGTCTCTTAATTCTTAAATTCTTCCCATCAGAACGTGGAATAAAGGTAACTATAGAGAGCAAAAGCCCTCACAGGGCTGAGACGGCCCTGGCTGTGGCTGCTCTGCAGTGCTGTGTGGGACTCTCACCCCAAACTCATCGAGGTGAAAGGGGTGCAGCCCCAGCTGTGCTGCTGCTGAGCCGGCCCTGAGCCTTGGCAGCCAAACTGCTGGGAGAGGGGATGCTCCCAGGGCCTTTACTAAGCCACGCTCTGTGTCATGGAGCATAAATGGAGAAGAGGATGTCAACACTGTTTAGAATTAAAAGCTAGTGGGTTTTCTTATTACTTTATGGGTTAACCTCTTATAATTAACCTAAATAATATGACACCTATACAAATGTTATTTAATATTATATTACACTATACTTATATAATATAACCTTATAATTAAACCAATTTGTCATTTCCCTCAAAAATCGAGGACAAAACTCTCTATAGTGGGAACAGAACCTTACTTTTACTTCTGCGGTTAATTTTGCAGGAACTGTACATTTTATACTCTTTATTCACAGTGTTTCTGTTTCACCCATAAAAAATGCATAGGCCTCTGTCAGGAAAATGATCAGTGTCACAACAGAACAAGAGCACAGCACAGAACAACAAGGACAGAACAAAAAGAAAAATAAAGAACAAACAATCTGCAAACAATAGATGACTAAGGGAATTATGTTATGAATTACCTAATTTGATGCCTTTCTTCAGTACAACTGCCCACTTGAAAAATTAAACAGTACTGTAAGTAACAAATGGGAGTGGGATCTGAAACACAGCATTGATGTGAATATTATTTCTAACTGGGGAGAGGTGTTTCAGATGCCTTTGATTATTTACACAGCATTTATTTTACCTTTTTTTCCAGAAGAAATTTGGAATTATTACAATGAAACATCATAAAAACTTCAACAACAGAAATGTCCGACTGCATCACAAGAGTGTTTCTTCCAGCCCAGTATTCATGTCTCCCTTTGGCAGAACAATAGTGGTTAGGAGAAGCATGTGGGCCTGCTTCCTTTTTGCAATCCATTCCTCGTGCTTTTCTAGTGTCCAGAATTGTTGTACTGGGGATATTAAAGAGTATAGAGAGTATAGTATAGGAGTCCTAGTATCCACTTTAAGACGTGTTGCCCACAAACTTTTCTAAACCATTTCTGACCTTACTGATACTGCTCACCTCCACGTCTTTCTGTGGCAACAAGTATACTACTTTACATACAGACATACCACTTTTTTCCATTTTAAATCAATTCAGACCAGTGCCAAGTGCCCCTCACTCTCGTACTGTAAGATCACACAATGGGCTCACATGGCACCAGACTTTAAAAGAAAGCCACTGCTTTGGCTCTGGGCATTTTTGAATGATTGATTTCTCAGATGACAGACAAGCTAAAAGTTGTTTTTTTATTCAATAAAGATTAATTTAACGAGGGTTAAGAGTGATTACCCATAATATTTCTTAATGTTTCTCTCAAAAATAAATAAAGTAAAAACCTCAAAGTCAAACATTGGCAGCTGCAAAAGCTATGGACATTAGTATGCACTGCATTATTTTAATAAATACTAAAATACTATCAGGTTGTTGTTTTTTTTTTTTTTTTTAAAGTCTTTTGAAAACTACTACAGCCAAATAGCACATAGAACTACTCAGACTAGAGCACAAAGGTAGGTTTATGTCCTTTCATGCCATGACTAGATTATGCTGGTATTAAGCCAATCAATCCCATTCTGTGCACCATTCTGAAAACACGTGCAGCTGATAGAAGCCTGCTCTAAATTCTCCCATCTGCAAGAGTGGCAGGTACTTGCATGGAAGCCATGGACCACCAGCTTGCAAGGGCACCATGAGCTACAACTCTTCTACTGATCCGAGTGACATCCTTGTTCACTGGTGCTCTCATCATTAAGGAGCTGTGATCACACAGACATAGCCATAATACAACCACAAAGATTCCAGAATATTTTCATTTCAACTATTTTTATCACAAACAGGAAACCAGGATTGCATAATACCTGCAAACAAACTGGAACAACTTAATGCCAGGCTCACCAGCATGGTGTTGGAAGCTAAATGTTTTCCATAGTAAAACAGTATTGCACAATGCCTGCGTAAAGAATTACAAACACAGCCCCTTTGATGGTGGTCCAAAGACTATTTAAAGTCTCACTTTCTTCAAAATCTGTTCAAATCACAGTGTAATCATTTACTTTCAGTTTGCAAACATTAATCCAGGGCCAAGGTAATGGTCTTGTGACACAACACCTAAATTTATATAAAACCGTGACTTTTTAGCACTCACTTAATGCTTCGGTGGGCCGCTCTGATTCAAAAGCAGAATACTGGCTTTATCAGAGCATGAGCAGAAGTGACCTAACACCACAAACAAAATGCTGCGTATAACTTCAGCCTTTTTTCTAGCACTACTGCACTGTTGCAATGCCCAAACCAAAACCAGCCAGGCCGCTGCACCTACAGACTGTGAGACCATTGAGACGGACGCAGGAATGGCGCTGGATCTGGTGAACAGACATCGCCAGGACGGCTTCGTGTTCGGCCTGTTCCGTGTTGCTGATGCACACAAACTACACACGGTAAGCGCTGATTTAAAAGGTGATTTGTACGAGACCACGATGATAAAATAATGAGCCCCCTCATTAAAAGTCGATGATGATTGTTTTTAACAGAGCAACGCTGATAAGATTCAATGAATCAGATCTGATTTACGTTATCACAGCATTCAGTTCTGCCTGATTTACTGTATGTTCCAGGGATGCTGAATGCCTTCTATTTTCTTGGCTGACTGGATGGTAGCATGGGAGATGCTCTGAATAGCTTTATGAAATACTAGAAATTAATCTGCCTGATCTGTTGTCAGGTCTCAAATAACATTCATAATTTATACTCAGAGGGTTTCTTTAATATGCTGAAGTCTAGCATTAATTAGATCAAGGTATAGTTCAAGATAGGTGTTTCATTATTATCTTAATTTTGAAAATATCTGTGTAACTGGGGAGAAAGAAGAAAGGTTGAGGAAGCTAGAGATGAAAATACCAGCCTGCAAAAAAGGGAAAGGGCTCAATGTTGAACTATTTCATAGGTACATAGGAGGACCATTTCCCATTTCATAGGTTCCTCCATATTTCTATCTCTTTTTCCTAGAGACTATATTCATGAGCTTTTCTCAATGAATGCCTTCCTAAAGGCCAAAGCAAATTAACAGCTGTAACCAACAGAATACAAGATTCATTTACTTTAACTTTTAGATTACAGAGACCAAGGACACTCAGTATTACCTATGAACTTGGCTACCTTTCAGCTGCTCGCTTAGTAAACGAAAATCTGCACATCTGCATTGCTGAGATGTATTACACATCTGTATTGCCACTAAAAAAAAAAAAAAGCAAACTGTTTTTTGATGGAGATGCTTAAAACTGCCCCTTCCTTAAGGCAAGAAAAAAACTCAAAAAGAAACCCAAAGTCCAGACTGTTGCAGGTCTCCAGGTAGGCTTCCAGAATATCAAGAGAGAACATCTTATTTTTCAAAGAAAAGGATGTAGGGAGTGATATTATTGGATTTTGATGTAATAGCCAAGTGATTGAAAAGGTCATCTAGGAAGCAAGCAGTCTTCAGCATAGAGGCTTAAGCCCTTAAGTCTCCTGCCCTTGAAGAACGTTCCTGTTTTGCTTTGTAAATTTTAATAAATTCATCATTAATAAATCGCTGTAAATAAATTTTGCTGTCTTTGCACCTCACAGCATCGACAGTCACACAGAGTCTATAAGAACTGATCTAACCTACTGCTAAAACATTAATCCCACGAGGGTTCTGTGCCTTTTTAGAACAAAAACTAGTGGGTGTGATTTCTTCCATGCTGAATATGTACTTTACTGAGCAAAAAGTAATGGTGGCAAACCTGACAAGGCAACATTAAAAAACAAACAAACAAAAAACCAGAATGTTATTCTGTGGATAATCTATTTTTCCATGCAATAGTGTGCATCAAAATTATGACATCAACCCCCTGAAGAAACTTAACCAGACAAATTCTTAGCAGTTGTATCTCTATTAAGTTTACATGGGAGTTGTGGAAGCATAATATACTTTGTGTATTCTCACCATAACAGTTCTGGGCTTGTACAGAGCTGCTGAACAGAGGAATTTTCTTCTGCATATTTGGATGTAGACACCTAATTACACTCAAACTCTGCTTTAGGATTTATAGAATCCAAATGCGCCCCACTGAAGAAAATAAATATTTGCCAGGGATAAATTGGCTTCTTTAGCATTTCACAAGTTTTGATGACATAGTAAATGTATTGAATCACTTCACTCCTAGTGAATGGTACATTTTACAAAAGACCATCTTACCACCCCATTCAGTGCAATTCCATGAACAAAATGAGAGAAAAATAGTCTTTGTCGCTGTATTTGTTCCCTTCTCTGTCTGCATTTTACTAATACGATGACTAGCAGCTTGAATTTATATAAAAAAAATTATAAAGTACAATAAAAATGCTAACCATCTCCAAGCAGAGAATAATCGTGTGGATAATAGGCAGAATGGGTGTCAGGATGGCTATATTCTTTTCCTGATTCTGACACAGAATAATACGTGTCACCTAGACTATTGTCTTACAAGAGAGACAATGCTGAGACACGGACACTGCAAAACTAGTGTGCAACACTGCACTGCTGGACACTCACTAATAAAACATTACAGTAGACTGTAGTAATTCTTTCCTGAGGTCTTGCCTGTTTGGAAACGCTCTGACAAAGGAATCTGAATGGATGAAGTTTCCTAAAACCTGAGGACGCATTCAATCACAGCGAAGGGCTTTGCATCAATTTATCCAAATGCTAAAATGAAATGTTTTCATTCCTAATGTCCATACAGGGGTTGCATGAAGTTTAAGTAATGCATTCCAAATGTGAATTGAGATTCATTTCCCTGCAGAAAAATAAAATACTGTTTCTGTGAACCACAGATAATTCTTAACACCACTTTCCATTACAATGGCAGTCACATTCAAATTATGACTCCCCATCCCATTTGCTCTGGAAACAGAACATACTAGAAGAATTTCAGAGCTAAGGCTCCTAAATTTATTGGGATTATAACAGTTTTATTGCACCACTCCCCAAATAAACAGGATAGGAAGCAAAGTTCTGAAACAGCATCTGGTCACTAAGGTCATTTGAAATGGATGAATTTGGAAAATCTGTCAGCGGGTTTGCTAATAGACCAGGGTGTTCAATGTGAAAATCAGGAGGGAATGACAACTTTTCAACATTACCATTTTCTTTATGTGACAGATGCTGGGTTAACAACAGACTCTTCTCACAGATTCTCAACAGAAGTTGAGAGGCAACAGCCATATGCTGCAGGAAAGGAAATTCTGTCTAGGTGTAAGGCCACAAATGTTACAGCGAGTGACTAAGTACTGGAACTGCTCAAAGAGGTTGCAGAGTATCTTGGTTGTATATACAACTCAGCTGGACAAGGCCGATCTAATTTTCATCTAACTTAAAACTTGGCTTTGCCTTGAACAACTGGCTGCACAAGATGATGTTGAAAGCTCCCTTCCAGCCTAAGCCATTCCATGATACTATGCTTGTCAGCTCAGAAAAGCCTTACTAGGGAACTGGAGAAGCTACAGTAAAGATTAAACATATCTATTTCAAAAAAAAAAAAAATTCAGACCAAGTTTCTCTAAAACAAATATATTTTTTTTTCTTTTTCTTTTTTTTTTTTTTAAACCCATACTTCTCTTCCAGGAAAATTCATCAGTCCTTTACTTAACTTTGGATGTGCTGGAAACTGAATGCTCCGTGTTGTCTGGAAGACCCTGGGAGACTTGTGAATATGGTGATCTCTATTCCATGGTAAGTAATAGCATCCAGGCAGAATCAATAAATACATAATTTGATTGTCTAGGAATTCCTGTGCACTCTAAGCAAAGGCTAGGTTGTAATATGGCTCGCTATAAAAATAACATTGATTGGTTTCTAGAGTCGTTAAGCATCAGCTAAAGGTTTAGGAAAGGGTTGTGAAATAAGCACAATTTCATTAAGCTAGTCTCAAAAAGACATTTTCCACTTTTCCACTGCTTTTAATAGAATTGATGTTTTGTGAATAAATTGCTAACAATTAAAGGGCACTAGAAATGATTTCTTTTCACTCCTAGTAACTATATACTCGTATAATATACTAACTTCCTAGCATATCTGCCAGAAAGGCCAGTGTTATAGTCTATCAGTTTTAGAGCATGGCTGAGTTTGTGGTATGACAATGTAAAACACTGGTAGCATCAGTACACAAATGATACGTTGCAGTATTTGTCCTTATTTGTTGCAGTACAATGATGCAGTGTGGAATGAGAACTACCTGTGCAAAACTTTATTTAAATAGGAGAGCTGTGATACTGCCACACAGGACAAAGCAGGAAGGCCACGGGCAGAGAGAAAGAAAAGGTTAAGATGGATAAAATGAATGTGAGAAAAGGTCCATCCACACTTTGATAAAGATTGATATAACCTTTGAGTATCTCCTGCATCCTAGCTTCCCCTGCTAGTTAGCAGTATCTCACTGTAAATAAGTACTAGAATGACTGAGAACACTGTGTTAGTTTTCCATTGTCTCCTCAGGCAAACTGAAAATTAAACAAAGGCTCTTGTAGGAGGAGAGCCATCTTATCTGAACACAAATTTTGAGTGGTACTAGAACAAACATTCTGTTAATGATCACATCTGTTATTCTTAGAAATACTGAACATTAAAAGGAGGCACAATGTCTACAATCAACTACATCTGATTAAATCCAGTGAAAATAACCTGATAGTCATATTCTCTTTTTTTCCTCCAGGACTTTGGGCAATGTAAGATTATCACATATACAAGCCAGCTGCTGAAGAAACCTAAATTATATGGATATAATTGTACATTAAGTCCAGGTAAAACAACCACTGTTGTAAGCTAACACATGCTTCAGACCAGTCCTAGCAGTGAAGTACAAGTCTGTGCAGTGCTATTGGATGGTAACCATAACAGATTAACTCATCTGCTTACAATTCCTATTTTAGATAATTCAAATGGTATGTTAAGAATGACTAATAAAATTAAGAATACCCTATTCCTCTAAGATAGACTTTATTGATATCAAATATCACTTCTCCAGTCCACTAAAACAAGATAATGAGTATCAGAAAAAAAAATAAACTCTGAAAGAATGCCCATTTGAGCCAGTTAGATTCCAAAGTTAAGCTAGAAGTTTTTTAAGAATATTCATTTTCACACGACAGTACAGACCTGTATTTGCAGAGAGACAGGCAGGCATTTCACTTCACGGAAGCGTTTGGTATTTCAGCTTCTTAATGAGTTCACATTAAAGATGCATACATAGATATTACTATGAAGAGTATTAATATCCATTGCAATATTAGTAACTTCTCTGCTTTCACAGTTCCTCCCGATTTAATAGAGTGCAAAGATTGTCCTGTAAAAGTTGAAGTCTTAGAAGTCACTGAGGAACATAAAGATCTTGCTGCAAAGCTCCTGGAAAAATTCAACCGTGAGGGTAACCACACAAACTACTTCAAAGTCAACAAAGTTGAGAAGATTCTAAAGGCAGTAAGTGGCATTTTGTCCTAGAACTACTACTAATAAATGACAGCATTCTGGGAGCAGATCCAAAACCATGGGCCCTGAAATCAAATCCTTCTAGGATCAGAAATACTATGTGTAACCTCTCAATATAAATCACCTGCTTAAAATTGGAGGTTCTACTTCCACAAAGCCTTATCAATTTCAGGCACATGAAAGCAAAAGGATTTCTTATCTGCTATGGCATTCAGGATGTCAGCCTTCTTTGTGTGGATATTTTTATTTTGTATGCCTATTTTCCTACCATATTATACAACATAAGACTTTATTCCCTACCAGCCATAGTTTGTCAAGATGTACAGCCACGTCTTATCACAGTCGTACATCCTGTCAAATTAAGCCAGATAACTTTTTACTCTTAGAATATTTAGCACGAGTCTGTGAGCAGACTCAGCATCATTTTGGCTGCTGTGGAACAAAGCAGCACTCTGAGAGTTCTGAAGAACAGGAGGTAAATTTGTATTGTAAATTTGTTGCATCTCTTGAGGAACTACTGTCTTTGCAAAATAATTTCTGCATCTCTAAGTGATGTCAACATGAAGACTTATCGCTGAGGTGACTAGAAACGTAACTCTTGCATCACCACAATTTCTCATTGTTAGATCTGGAGATTTTCACTTAAAAAGCACAGGATCACTCTGCCAATACACATTCCAGTTCAGGACACCTTTGCAAAGACCTCTTCCACAACACATTTTGCTCCTGAAACCCATCTAAATTATAGCATGCCAACCCCACCTCTCAGAAAATTTAGCAGTGCTTTATATTGTAGCTCCATGTAGCACTTCTGCCCTTTCAGCCCACGGCTGTTTTCAAATTACCTGGATTCAAGGATTTCTCCTTAAAATGCTTTTCTTTTTTTTTCTTTATCTTCACACTTCTCCATCTTTAGCTACAGTGAGAATTCAGATTGCACCACTGGATTTCGACAGACTGCATAAAACTATTAAGTTTCATTAAGACACATTTGCACACAGTGTGTGCAACTGCTTCAAAAAGTTCAGTTAAACCGGTGAAACTTATGGGCACATGTGCTATGGACACCTTCAACAGACATGAAATAAACTACTATTACAGTCGAAAATTAAAGCAACTATTTATGAAACTCATAAAGGAGAGAGGAACAAAGGCAGAAATTAACGAATCCACTTTTCTTGCTGAATACAAACTTCTGAAGAGCGCAGATAATGTATGAATGCTGAGATGTTGATAACAGCCCGAAGCACGGCTGCTTTTAAAATTACAGCTTTTTTGTTGTTGTTTGCTTTTTGTTTATTTAAATACACCAGTCAGCACCGCTCAGTTGACCTCTCTTTTTCAGACTGCCTCCCGTGAAGCTCACATTTTAGGATTCTCTATAAAAGAGACCAACTGTTCCAGAGGAGAAAGAGAACAGCAACAAGCAGATGAGCCACTGGAATGTGAATTTCTGGATGACTGGCATGCTGTAAGTAAATAAGGACTAAGAAGTGATGGCACCAGAATGATCTTTCACAGTGATTCCAAGTGTTTCTTAGAAGCATGCACCCAAACCCAAAATTCAGAATCCAGCATGTCAAAGTTTAGATCCTACTATGTTTCCTCTATAAGGAGCCAGTCTAAACTATCAAACGTAAACATAACTGAAGTCTGGCATACTTCAGACCTAGAGCTTAACTCTTTTGTTTGGATCTGGCTTTCTCATTCAAATCGTGGCCATTCCCTGGTAAATTTTCCATGCTATTTTCATAAAAACAATTACAGTAACACGAATCATGGATTTTGAGTGAAATATATGTACTGAGTCACATCAGTGAGCCAGGGATTATTTTTTGTTCTCTGCTACAGAAGAACAGAGGGTTGAATAATTCAGGCTTATCTACAGAGACTAATCACAGTACTAGACAGCAGACAAAAGTCACTGCAAACAGGACACTAAGGGAAGTAGTGTTGAAGATTACAACAAATTATTTCTCGAAAATATAAATGGAAAAAATCTCTGATTTGAGATTCATCTCAAAAGCAGTCTCACAACAAGGTCTACTTCTGAGGACTTCAAGCAAAATTTCAGAATAGCCTAAACTGAACAGCCATTTGGCAAGCAAAGTCAGAAAAATGTGTAAAAATCAGTCAATATAGGCATTGATAGATTACCAGTTTTTACAGACATCAAAACTGAAGTGAGATGGAGAGCGATAGCGCTCTCGATGTGTAGGAGGGAATGGTTTTCATAGTCAAGAATACCCAAAAATGAAATAGATTTTATTCATTATTTAGAGGGCAAGTATGATTGGCCAGAAAGCTCAGGTTCTAAGTTATATAAACATAGTTAGGTATCCAAGGAAGTGTCCTAACTTTTAAATGCTGACTTTTCAGTGGCTTCTATTTATCTCCATCACAAGAGCCCAGATTACATTGTTGAGTTTTTGGGTTTTGTTTTGTTTTGCTTAGCGCACAGGATTCTGCAAGGCAAGAACTGTTAGTGATCCAGATGAACCCAATGGAATAGAAATAAACTGTGAACTCTATCATCCCTGGGTAGGTACTCAATTATTGCAATGTCTTTGGCTATATCCCAATGCAGTTACTGCAGTTTCAATCCACTCTTACAGAAGAAATGTTGCAGAGGTTATTTAGTACTCCCTGGGTGTGATCCTGTATGTGAGAACAGACTGGCTTTTGACTACTATGATAGTCAGAGGATTGATTGGAATTGTGTGATCCCTACTGCCTCCTCCAAAGGTGTCTCCACTCTGCTTAATCACACTGCTCAGTTAAAGTGAGTAGAGACTGGCAAACAAATTCAAAGGTAATTTTAGAAAGCAAGGAGAGGGAAGATGATCTGTATCATATTTGAATTCCATTTTATATTACAACAATGATTCCAGTGTGGTTTTCATTTTGCTTTGGCCCATTACAAATCGTGCTCAGTTGGTTATATCATTTCACTTTATCACAGTGCAGTACTTTCGGATGCTTTTTGGTAATTTGACATTTTATCACCTACTCCATCCCTTCTGTCTTGAAAAAATAGTTGTTTTTGCTTTACAAACCACTGGAGCCATAAAAGCAAGTCCATTAATTCCCACCTTTCTCTGTCACCATTTTCTTCTGTTTGTTCTATTAACGTATAACTTAACATGTCTTGCCCTGGTGTTTTTTTTTGTTTGTTTGTTTGTTTTTTAAATAAACAGCAACGTTACTATGGACAAAGATGCAAATCTCCAGGTCCAGGTTGGTCACAGAAGCATCCCCATCATCACAGACATCGTCACAGGCATAGAGGTCCAGCTACCTTTCAGTTCAAACCTGAAGACCCTGAGCATAACCATGGTTTCAACAAAGATCATCAGGACAGCCACGAAGAACCTCCTCCTCCCTGCCACGGTAGACATCATCACCACCCTCACCCTCCACACCGTGGTCTGGCTCCTTCCCAGGGGGAACCAGAGAACCCCTCTTCCACTCCTCTCTATGACAAACAACAGAGTCCTCCTCTTATTCAAGAGAAATCTGATTTTCCCAATTCCACTCCTCCTCCTTATGATGAGCAACATAGCCCTCCTCCTCCTCCCCATCATGGACCACACTACCCTCCTCGTCACGGACATCATCACCCACACCATCCTCCCCATCATGGACCACACTGCCCTCCTCCTCACGGACATCATCACCCACATCATCCTCCCCATCATGGACCACGCTGCCCTCCTCCTCATGGACATCACCATCCACACCATCCTCCCCATCAGGGGCCACACTGCCCTCATGGACATCACCACCCACCTCCTCCTCCTCAGGAGGAACCAGAGCACCCCTCTTCCACTCCTCTCCATGACAAACAACAGAGTCCTCCTCTTATTCAAGAGAAATCTGATTTTCCCAATTCCACTCCTCCTCCCTATGATGAGCAATATAGCCCTCCTCCTCCTCCCCATCATGGACCACACTATCCTCCTCGTCACGGACATCATCACCCACACCATCCTCCCCATCATGGACCACACTGCCCACCTCCTCATGGACATCATCACCCACACCATCCTCCCCATCATGGACCACATCACCCTCCTCCTCATGGACATCATCACCCACACCACCCTCCCCATCATGGACCACACTGCCCTCCTCCCCCTCCCCCTCCCGGACACCATCCTTACCTCTATCATCACTATCACAGGCATCATTGCAACAAGACACACACATCTGGAAAGTACTTTCCATTCCAAGTAACTGGATCTGTCTATCGCATTCCAGTTCTAAATATGCAAGATTCTCTCACACCTCCCAGTGCAAAATTTCCTGAGTTATCACCTCTTGGCCCTCATAGCACTGATGAAGGTACTCCCTTCACTGACTCAAGTCTAAGGGAGATTCCAGAAGCTCCACATTTTCCAGATCACCCTTCACAATCAAAGTCATGCCCAGGAAAACCTAAACTTGATCTTCCAAAAATTTTGCCTTTACTTCCACTTAAGTCCATGGCAGAAAGTCTTGAATGACCCCAGAGAAAGATATTCCTGACTCGAGGGTTGCAGGCCTATGACCAATGCACAGTGAATGATAAAAGCATATGGTAAAGAGGGAAAAGCATACAATTTCCAGGGAGGAGAAGCACTGACATCACTGATTAAGACAAGTATTCCAACTTGTTTCTTGATCCCAGCTATCTCAGACTCCCACTATAACTGAAAGAAAGATTCAAAAGTTTGAGTCTTTCAAGTAATGTGACTGGGTAGAAATCTCAATCAGTTCAACTGTATGTTCTTTTCTGAGGAAGTATGATCATCTTCCATAAAAAAAAAATCCATGGCACTACATTACACTTCATAAAAATCCAAAGAAAATAAAATCATGTAATCATTTCTTTCTTGACACAGTTGCTAAAGTTTTGTCTTTTTTTACTACAGATGTTTAGCAGCACATTCAATACCCATGAGGCATACTCCAACATAAACTGATTAATGGTGTTACCAGGTCATCTAGAAGAGGTCTGAGTATAGTTAATGAGTTGTGGTGTAGCACAACAGCTGGTCTGTACAGGTGCTTCCATTACTACAGATACTGGTGGAAATATATAAAAAATACTGCATTCAAGTACAGCCCTTTTCAAATAGTTCATAACTGCTCCCAGGGGAGGGAAAAAGCAAAGACATGTAATAACTCTTCCAGGTAAATGTTTTTGTTGTTGTTGTTTTTAAATCAATGAACCACTTGCCAGCTGTACTGTAAGCCGCATCGAAAGAAGGGGACCAATAGGGCAAGGAAGATAACTGTCCCCCTCTACTCTGCCCTCATAAGGCCTCATCTGGAGTACCGTGTCCAAGCCTAGGCCCCCCCAGCACAAGAAGGATGTGGAGCTATTGGAGGGTGTCTAGAGGAAAGCCACAAGGACAACGAAAGGGCTGGAATACCTCTACTACAAAGAAAGGTTGAGGGGGTTGAGCTTGTTTTGTGCAGAAGAGAAGGCTCCAGGGAGAGCTCACTGTGGCCCTCCAGTACTTGAAGGGAGCTTATGTGCTCTGATAGTGATAGGACAAGGCAGAATGGCTTTCAACTAACAGAAGGGAGATATAGGTGAGATGTTAGGAAAAAAATATTACTCAGAGGGTGGTGAGGCACAGGCTGCCCAGAGGAGCCATGGATGCCCAATGCCTGGAGGTGCCTAAATCCAGATTGCATGGAGCCCTGGACAGCCTGATCTGGTGGGGTCAACTCTGCTCACAGCAGGAGGTTGGAATTTGATGACCGTTCAGGTCTCTTTCAACCGAAGTCATTCTGTGATACTATGACTCTAAGAATCTTTCTTTCTGCTGGCAATTTAGTTGGGAGGAGCAGGAAGAAAGGGCTCTAAAAATCTCTTTGTACTGGAGCCCCCCTCAAGATAAGTCCACTTAGACAGTCTGGGACTGCAGAGAGTTAGTTCAGGTCAGTTATAAGCAAGAACATGGGGTTAATGTAAAAAAAAAAAAAGAGCTACTTTGGTCTTCAAAGTAGCTTTTAAAGAGCATGAAGTAAAACAAAGCATGAGGGATACAATGAAGAAACAAAATGAGGATGGCATTTTGCATACCCAAGTAAAGGTTGGCTTTTTTTTTTTTTAAATGCATCATAATGTTCAAGCAACCTTGTTTATGGCTTAGCTTATCCACAAAGACTCTGAAGTACAACTTCTTTAACCAAAACTAGCAAAACAGAGGTAAAATACTGGATCTGAGTAAATCCCACCATGTTCACAGATTCAAAGCAAATCTGTTTGGTGCTCATCACTGTCAACAGTCCCAGGTGTTCCCTGCCAGCTCTGGTACGGCCTCTGCTGGATAAAGGCAACATCAATCTCTTCTTAGGTGTCATTTTCCCTATCTGTAATAAGAATACATCATGAAGACCAACTAAACCATGGTCCAAAGGTAGCCTTCACATGGCAGCAAAGATAGTCACCTCCAATTGCAGAATGAAGCACAAGGGTTATCAACTGCTATTGAAGAGTTTTGTGGCATTCAATGATATGAAGCTGACCAAAGACTTTTCTTTCAGACATTTTCTGACTTCTCAGAACTACTGTGTCTAAACAGATGTATAAAGTTTACAGTGCCTTTGTCCAGAACTAGAACTTCATTACTACTGTGACCATCTTGGGTACTTTATTTAATTCTTTCTGAGCAACAGTCTTGATGTTAAAAAGAAGCCAGAGATCTGCAAACATTTTGCTTGCTGTTTTGCTCAGGAGCCATCCTGTCCAGTGTAAGCTGATCTCCAGCTGCAGCCAGTTAGCCTGTTATCTTGGTAACAGGTGAATAACCTTAGTGTCATTCTGGTGACCACACAAAGTCTGTTTAGAGGAATTCAGAAGTTTATTTGCTGTATAAACAGGATATGACGAGAACTAACCAACCCCAGCAACCCGCTCATTCTGTTTACTTTGCTATTGGTCCTGTAAAATATAAGAGGTGATTAAATCCTTGTCAGGCATTCCTTTTCCCTTTGCTTTTTGAAGAGCCTTCTAATGCAGGGGATTTTTATTTTTGTCCAGTTATGAAACTTTTTGCTGTTATAGCACTCTGTTGTAGCTTTTTTTCTGCCAGAGCCACCCCTCTCCCATTTGAATTTTTGGACTGTGATGACCCAGATGTCTTGGAAGCTGTTGACACAGCACTGCAGAAATACAACGGAGACAGCACTACTGGTAATCAATTTGCTCTGTACATGGTGACGGAAGCCAAGAGAACAGTAAGTAGACTTTGCAAAAAAAACATGTTGGAATTGTTTATGCACTCTGAATCAGGTTTGCTCCATCTGATTTACAAGGGATAGAAAGTGTGGCAGCAAAGTATCTTGCAGAAATATTTACCAAAAAAAAATAATCAAAGAAATGGCTTGCATAGTAAGATAGTTGTCACTATGACAAGCAGGGATGTATACTATGTTCTTATCAGTGGAACTGTGTGCTGATGAATTGCTTACTAATGCAAGGATTAAAAAGCAAATAATAGAAAACTTATACCACTAATACAATTTGTCTTACTTGTCCATCCAGTTTTCTCCTTTCTGTTGGAAATTTTACCCCTTTCTGCCATCATTAAGATTTTTCAGATGGTTGGCAAAAACACATTATGAAGTGGATATGTCTTGACTAGAAGAGCTAGTATCACACGCTAAAAAAAAAAAGACAGACTTGATAAAATTCACCAATGCTGTGAAAAAAAATGTTCCTGAATATTACTTGATTGACACTAGTCCTGAGTCACAGATGTATACAAAAGCACTAGGTGATATTTTAGTCAAAGAGTGACAGTTAAAATTAGAGAAGAAATAAAGAATGAAATGTGATCTCTTGCCTGCAGTCCTTCTGCATAGAGCAAATCTAACAAAGATTATTTACCTCTGAGACACACACCAAGACAACGTTACCGTAATGATGACAAGCATTGCTTTACTTGAAAACATTAGCAATTTTTTTCTATTGGATTGGAATCCCAGTGTCAGAATATTTTGCACTCCAAAATCACAAGAAGCTTTGACCCAGATGGAAAGGGGACACAGATTGCTAAATGCTTTACAGTAAACCACCCACATCTCCTGGCACCTTCCCTCTGGCTTTCCTGTTATCAGACTGGGGAGATCTTAGCAGACAAAGACTGAAATTTGTCAAAGCCTTTATATAATTAAAGAAATTAATACTCCCATAGCCTTTATTGAACTACATGCATTGTTAACAATAGCTAAATGCAAACCTCTTAATACCATAGCTGTAACACCACCTTCCTTTCTGCTGCCTTATATTAGAGCTATCACACAACCTCCTTGTCCAAAGGACAGATATTATTTTCAGTATTTTGTCTTATGTTCTATTTTTAAGAACACATATTTAATGCAACTCCTGTTCATCTTCCTCCCAATATACTGCCCTTTCTTGAAAGATCTGAGGTGAAAATCAATTATTACTTGAATCGTTGATCTGACTGATGCTAAAGAAAAAAAGAAACAGAGAAGGAATCTGCAAGAGAGAATTGTTCATATTCTATAGACTTTTTCCAGAAAGAGCACAGATTTTACTCATTGCTAGTCTCACAACGCTGAATGCATTAATTAAATAGCTGGTTATTATATATTCATGTACATTCATTATTGATGAGGTAATAAAACATAAAAGCTGACTGGCGGAAGACTGAACCTGCCCCAGTTAAAGGCACAACTGTTCATAAAAAATAATGAAATGAAACAACAACAAATGACATACAGAAACAATGTATTTTCTGACGAGCTTCATTTGTTCACTGAACTGATTTATTCCAGGTTTAGAAAATCGTTAACAGATAACAGGGTTTGGTCTTTAAATCCACATCCCAGACAGTATAACCTGATGCAGTTCCATAAATGTCAATTTACACCTGCTGAGGATTAAGTCCATTATATTTTTAGAGACCTTTTCATCCTATCTTACAGCCTGCAGTCATCACATCACATACTTCTACTTTCTGTAGAGATGTAGCAATGTATAACAGGAATTGAAAGAACAAAAGATAATTCTGTCTTCACCTACACAAGTGTAAATTCAGTACGCTCCACCCATGCTAACTCAGCTTCTCTTTCTTGATACCAGTAAGACAAGAATTATCATCTGGTTATCCTCAGGTGATACAATTGAGAATTAATGTTGAACTACAGCAACTGTGTGTGTTTGTATTTGAAAAAGTCCACTGACAGAGCATTTTTAGTGACAGTAAACCAGAACTTGTCATTATATAATCTCTGAAGGATGAGCTAAGACCTTGCAGTTAATGTTACCTGTTGGTACAGGCTTACTACTCAGTTTATTGCAAGGAGAAAATGCCCCCTTACTTAACAACATCAGAAGCGCTTGCACTGGTCACGTCAAACTTCAATGGTTTGAAAATCTCAGGGGATTTGTGAGGCCATCCCAAGAGCAGCGCAGCCTTTAACACCCATAAGGATACTGCAGGAGCAGCCAAAGGCTGCCTCAGAAGCCCTCGGCCCTTTTCCCCTAAGTATGCAGGGCAACTTATTTACCCTCACACCACGGAGTACAGGCAGTTTGGGCACCACCAGGCTGCTCCAGAATGACTGGCTACTGCTACCTCTGGGATGCCTGTAGGGCTGTACATAAGGAGAATGGACAGATTTGGGAGGAGAACAAGTGTGAGAGAATTGAACAGGAGCACAGTCCAAACTAGTATTATGCTAATTATCCACGCAGTGACACAAATTTGCTTATTTAGAATATGCTTGAATGCAAGTAGAAAACCTAATCACTTATTTCTCTTGTTAAAATCCTAGATGCAGTATGTTAAAGCATAGGTAGTAGGACGTACCATATTTGCACTTACAGGTAAAGACTCAGTAATATACTTAGATAATTTCTGATGAGATATGGGAGACCTTTCATGGAGACCAGCAGCTAATCTGAAACCATAGTATAAAACATAAGGTAACCAACAGATAGTACTTGCTCTTTACAGTTCTTTTCACTGATGTCTTGATTTATCACTATGCAAATGATGACTTGCTTTAAGATAAATAAGTACACAGATGTTGTAAAGTATTGCATGATCAATAAGTATACAAAGAAGTTAGGCTAGTAAGATTATCACGCAGGAAAAGATGATCAGAAATAAATGAAAAGCACTCACCAGTGTTGTAGGCTTGCAAGAAACTCCACAAGGGATGATCTCCAGAGAGAGATCCTCCCTAAGGGGCAGTCAGCCCTTAAGTGGGTCTAAGAGAGGTGCAGCCAGGCTCCACCCCTTTTGATCACACAGCTGAATTGCCTTCACCTGTGCTCCTGGGGCTGACTCAGTGCTCGCCTCAGGTGATCAATCAGAGGTTCAGGCTGTGACTCAACTGTTCCCATACGCTTGCATATTGTTTTTATCCAGGTAGGTCCTGACAAGCAATTCCATGTGAAATATCAGATACGAGAGACCACTTGTGCCACTGAGGAAAACAAACTCTGGAAGGACTGTGATTACAAAGCATCTGCAGAAGCTGTAAGTATTTCTCCTCTTTAAAACTTCCCAGAACAGAAATATCAGTATAACAACCAGGACTTTGCTCTCCTGGGGGGGGAAAAAAAAAAAAAAAAAAAAAAAAACAACATGGAAGAGAATTAACTTTTTCGGCTATGCTGGTTTTGATAGTTTATAGAAATAAAGTATAGAACAGAAGAGTTTACAACCCTGAAGTTAACCACCGTATTTATGAATTTACCACTATAGACCTGAATTTCAGCAGAAGGGATTGTTTAAAATCTTCGGTATGATGGTTCACAATAAATCCAACAGAAGGTACACTAACAACGAGAATGTGAGGGCTATCAAACGTCCTATTGCTTGTGTATAATGGAAAG